ATGGAAGGATGCTAAAAGTTATCACATTCTTTCTCTGTGGAGAGGACCCTCATTTTCCCCTTCTTTCTGTTGATGTGATTTGTGATGCTTAGTGGTTTTTAAATGCGAAAGCACTCTTGTGGCTATGGAATGAATTCCATTTGATTGTGATGTATGAGATGTATACTTACATTTATATCGCTAAACTCCAATTGCCAGAGCTTTTGCATCTGCACTCACTGAGGGTGCTGGTTTGTCCTTTTCTTGTGTGTTGTGTGTCTTTGCTTTTAGTGTCAGAGTGATGGTGATTCAGAAAACAAGTTTGGTAAGAATTCCATTCTTTTCAATATTTTGAAATAGTTTCGAAAGTATGAAAGTCAGTTCCTCTTTCAATATTTTGAGTAACTCATTAGTAAAATCATAAGGTCTTGGCATTTTCTCAATCATTGGTGCAATCTCGTTATTTATTACGGGTTTGTTTAGATTTTAGCCTCTTGATTTAATCTTGGTAGTTTATGTATAACCAGGAATTTATCTGTTTCTTTGAGATTTTCCAATGTATTAATGTATTACGATTCAGGATCCTTTCAATTCTGTGGCATCTGATTCAATATCTTCTTTTTCATCTCTAATTTTCTTTCTCCTTTTTTCAGTGTTAAAGTTTGTCTACTTTATCTTCTCAAAAACGATATCTACTAATCCTTAACTTTTTAGCATTCTGCATACTTTATATTATGTATTCCCTTATGCTAATATTGGGTTTAGGTTGCCTATGTTTTTCTACGTCCTCAAGAGACACATCACTAGATTGAGTTGTGGTCATTTTTCTTGTCTTTTTTTTTTAAGTGTATGTGTTTATTGTATAAGCTTCCCTGTTAACACTCCACTTGCTCTGCCCCACAGGTTTTGACATGTTGTGTTTTCATTTCAATTTTATTTCTAGGATTTTTTTAAAAATTTCCTTTTAAATTCTTCAGTGATCCAGTAGCCATTGTTTAGTTTCCACATGTTTGTAAATTTCCATTGTTCTTTGTGTTGCTGATTTCTAATTTTATTACTATGGTGTCTGAGAGAATGCACTGTATGATTTCAATCTTTTTAAATTTGCTGAGATTACATTAGTGATGTAATATATATTCTGTGCTATGGCATGATCCATGTGTTGATGAGAACACACATTTTTTGTGGCTATTGGATGAAATACTCTGTAAATGGCTGTTACCATGTGCTATGTAGCATGCTTTCTGTCTGATGACAATTGGGTATTGAAGTCCTTCACATTATTGTACTGGAGTATGTCTCTCTCTTTAAGCCTAGTAAGATTTGCTGTATATATCTGTGTGATCTTGTGTAAGAACCTATTTATTACATTTTGATTGATTCAATACAGAATGTTCTTCTTTGTTTCTCAGTACAGTTCTTGATTTGGGATCTGTTTTATTTGATATCAATATTGCTATTCCCACATGGCTTTGGTTTTCATTATTTTTTACATATTTTTCCAATCTTTCCTGCAGTCTGCATGCTTACCTGTGAAGTTCATTTATTGTAGGCAACAGACAGCTGATTCTTGTTTTGTAATCAATTCAGCCAATCTATATATTTTAATCAGGGAAATTTAATCTATACATATTCAAAATTGACATTGAAAGGTTAGCTTTTAAGGGAAAAGATCAATTTCAGGCATCCAGTGCCCAAGCTGACTCATGTGACAGTGTTCCCTGTCGCTCTACCAGCACGAACTTTGGGGCAAGATGGGTGGGTGTGGAGGAAGGAGCAGAATGCAAGCGTGTCTGTGTCCGAGTCTGCGTGGGTGTACTGTGCATTGGGGCTTGGACGAGGAAGTGTGCAGTATGAGGGAAGCACCTTTTGTCTAAGAGTTTTGTTTTTGTTTTAATTTGAAAGGGAGAGAGAGGGAGATTGATTTGCTGGTTTACTCCCCAAGTGGCTGCAAGGGGCCAGAGCTGGGCCAGTCTGGAGCCAGGGGTTTCTTCTGGGTCTCCCATGTGGGTGCAGGGGCCAACTTGAGTCACCCTCTGCTGCTTTTCTGGACCATTAACAGGGAGTTGGGTCATAAGTGAAGCAGCTGGGACTTGAACCAGTGCGTACATGGGATGCTGACATGACAAGTGGTGGCTTAACCTGGTACACATGGTGTTGGCCCTTGAAACACCTATTTTTGCCTTGTTCACAGAGATATTTTCTAAAATGGATGTGTCTTTCCATTTAAAACAACTTGGATCCTTGAGAATTTGGGCGAGAATGATATTTGTACGATCGCATTATAGAAAGAGCTTCACTAAAGAAACATTCATAGCCAGCACGTTTAACCCACCTCTCACTGTCAGCACTGTGTGATGTTTATTTTGCTGCCTCCTTCCATTTTGTACAGGTGGATGTCTGTTCTATGGAGAAGCTCCTTGGGATAATATGCATATAACGGTTCTTATGAAAACAAAGACTTTTCCTATCTGGAAACAGGTAAGCCTTTATTTCATATTGCTACATTAAACATAAGCAAGCACTTTGAAAATTTTTTTCAGCTTCAAAACGGGCTTTCCATCTTGTCATTTATTAAGGAGCGGGACTAGAGGGTGCAATGCTTGCATTCCTTGCCTGGGACTGAGTCCCAGCCCTGCTGATTCTTTTTGCTCATGCACAGCTGGGTGACAGCATGATGGCTCAGGCACCCGAGCCCTTCTGATCACAAGAGCCTGGCACAGACGTGGTTGCTGTGGGCATCGGGGGGGGGATCAATCAAAGAGTGGAAGATTGATCCCTGTTCTTTCTACATTAAAAATTACCTTTACTGGACAAAGTGGAATTGTAAAAGAAGGGTATTAGAGAGACAATTAAAAATTCTGTAGAATTTATAACTGAACACACAAGACAAATGGAGTTTTTCCTGTATAATCTATGAGATTCAGACTGTGATAGGATTAATAGACCCACATATTCTCCACCTGGCCTATCATCTCATAACAGGTATATCTTGCCCAATCATGTGATAGCTTGCTAGTTAAAGGTAAAATACCTCAAGTACTTTGGAAAGCTAAAAATCATACCCTGCAACTGTGTAAATGTGCGTTTACTTATTATCTACCTAAGAATTAGTTCAGACTCAGAATGAAGACATTGTTACAGATGCATCGTGAGCATATCATTGCAATTTTCTTTGGAGAACACACACACACAAAGCTGAGTGGTAGATCCGATGAGGGAATCTACCCATCCTGCACAAAACTGCCTGTGTGGTTCTTGATCGTCTGTGTACAAAAGCCAGTCTCAGGAGATACGTCCCGAAGGGCTCCATGTGCTCATCATTCTCCAAAGGACTGAAATACAGAGATGGAAAACAGATCAACGAGGCCACGGGCTGGCAGGGAAAAGTGGAGGGTGTAACCAAGGGACAAAGGGTTTCTGTGTGCCGATGAAGTGGCTCCCTATCCTGATTGTGGTGCTTCTTCTATGAATCTATATCGGGGGTCTCCCGTCCTGCGGAAGAAATCACCTGACACTGGAGAGAGTCTCAGAGGTGCTTTATTCAAACCTTCTGTTAAAAACCATTATGTCCGTTAATTCCGTGATGCTGAAGCCCCTCCCCCGCCAAGCCCCCCAGCTTATATGTCAATCCTGTCCAATCAGCTTAGAGATCACCAAGGCACACCAATCAGGGCAAAGGGCCAATCACAGGGCAGGAAATTGTCAGTGCCCCCAACAAATCTAGACAAGTGATAGGATGTCATAGAGCTCTACACAAAAACATATACAAGGACCCGGGTGCCTGTTGAAACTTGGTGTCTCAGCTGTGTCAATGTCCCATTAGAGGAGACTGGGAAAGGGGTGCCCAGCATCAGGGCACTATCATGTAACTTCTTGTGAGTCTGTAATTACTTGAAAATATAGGAATGCTGTTAAAAAAAAAAAAAGACTGCAGCTACAAATTAAACACACTTAGGAAGTGCTTTAGTGGAAGGCCATAGACGGTCAGGAAAGTGAGCTTTTAAAATGCAGTGATTCTTAACCTGGCATCTGTCTGGTCCCCAGGCCTTCCAATTGAAAGCTGTGCACCTGAAAGCCAAGACTGCTTCCATCTCCTTTACCGCAGCAGCAAAACCCCCAATCGGGAACCTTTGGAGCCAGCAGGGACCTCCTGGTTGACACACGCCAACCCCTGTGGTTTTGTGTCTGGTAGGGTGAGGGCTTGTCCCAGTTCCTTTGTGGAGTCCGGATTCTTGGGATATTTTACGGTCTGCAATATACCAATGTAAATGACAGAAACGCTAATGGATGTTTTGGCCATTTTGCCTCAACATTTATTGCATGCAACAAGCGTTTCAGTTCATGGTGCTTAGAAGTGTGGGTGTAGAAGCAATGCATTTGTTAAGTAACATCATATCACATTAAAAAGGATGTTGGCAGTGGGGGAGAGTTTCCAGGACAGAGGGCGGGGCAGGGAAAAAGGATGTGCAGTGCCTGCCTCCACTAGGGAGCCGAGCAAACATGCTCCATCGCTTGTGCCAGTTCTGATTCTGCAAATACTGAAACACAGAAGGCATTCAAGAGTGGCCTTCCATCGGCTGAGAATGAGCGGAGCTTCACAGCACTTCAAGCTCATGCAAGAATGGAATTAAAAGTGCAGTTGATTCGGGTGTAAAAACAAGCTGAAATCTGGACATAACCTTCAGCATGGGCATGTTCACGAACATTCTGAAGACACCTTACTGAAATGCATATATTTCCAATTTTTTTTCACCTTAACAAATTTGACTTTTACTTCCATTTTCCATGAACTTTTTTTGTCTGTGCCTGTTCGACAGTCTGTACGGGCCAAGCTTCTTCGCTCATCTTGATGATTCTTCTTCCCACAGTGCTAAGGAGCGCTCTCTTCGGGGAACAGGTCCTGGCGGAATGGGCTCCAGCTCCTCAGGCCGCATCTCCCCTCCTGACGGCACGCACACCCAAGTCTCTAAGACTTTAAATAATTCTTCCAAAAATGCAAACAGGAGCCAAGTAACTTCACAGCATTACTGTATTCATTTTATTAACAAAAAGAACCCATGGGGTTCAAACGAGTACAAAATACAATCTCTTTTCCCCCGTGGATTAAACTGTTACACTTTTAATAATAAAAATTAAAAAAAAAATGCTTTCATGGTTAACTTATCAAAAACTTAACTTCTGCTTATTGAGTTATTTGTTGTGCAAAACAAAAACACAAAAAGTAAAGTTTTGCCAAGGAGGACTTTATGTACCAAAAGGTACGTGTTTTCAATTTCAAAATTTTTGCATCAAAAGGAAACTCCTAAGGCCACTTTTTTTTTCAAACTAAACAGCAGCAAGAAGGAAATAAAGAAGCAAATAATGGCAGCTACATTGTTATCTTGATCCCCAGGTCCTCTCTGCTCCTGTGTAGTTTTCTACATTCATAAAATGATATCTTGATTATATAAATATTTCACACTACAGCTTAAGGTCAAATATACCAACATCAGTTTCACATGGCAAGTCTGGCCTTGGAACTTCTCTCATGAGTGTTCCCCAGCCAGCTCTGTGACAGCCACATGGGGGACTTCGTGACTCCTCTGACAGAGGTTCCTTTAAGCAGGTGCTTCCCCGCAGGCAGCCGGGTTACCACCCTCTGCCTCTGTAAGTCCTGCTGAGCTGCTTTCCCTCTTTGCTCTGGTCCACGGAGGTCTACAATGGCCTCCGTGCTCAATGATGAGCACTCGGCTGCAATGAAAGCCTCAGCAAACAGCCCAAGAGGAGCTTCTCTAAAGGGAAAGTGGAACTTTCTAGATAGGACTGAACAAACACACCCACTGATGAGCATACAAACTGCACAACCGAAAACTAAAGTAAGCACGACAGCTCTCTGACAGTTTCAGTACCTCAGTAGGGCAGCATGTGCGGTGGTTCAAAACAGCAGCACACAAAACAAAGCCATGTGTTTGAAGACTACATGACTGCAGAGGAGAGCGGAGAAGCACACCCTGCCTAATGTTGGTAGAAAAATCCCTGATCCAATGCCCCAGTGAAGTTTAAATACAAAATTTAACCTTAGAAGAACTGTTCTATTTCTAAAGGCAAATTAGCCATTCCATTGAATCAAGTACAGTATTTTGTATGGGAAGCACCAGGGTTTTCAGATCAAATCCTTAGGACTCAGCTGGTCCAAGATCTGTTAGCAGGGGATCGCCTTTCTCCCCTTCCTTAGTGTCCAGAGAGGCTCATCCAGGAAACCGAGAGATGGAAGAAGCAGCGAGAGGCCCTGTGAGCACAGACAGCAAGGGAGAGGGTGAACAGAAACACTGAACAAACTTCCAGCAGCAACACACCCCTGGTGGCGGGAAGACACGGAGGGAAAACGATTACACAGTATTGCACCAAAACCACAGTTTAAACAGAATCGCTGGGCAGCTGGAAGAAACAACGGACAATGCAATGACTGCCATCTGAAGACTCCAGCCTGGGACAGGAATTCATTTACATCTTTTGGAAAATGGCGTGCCTACCTTCCTTTGATTCGGGGTTCATTTTGAAAAGCCCCTAGGCATACATCTATCTACTTGTGGCTAACGCGCTCTCAGGGAGCGCTCCCCTGGCCGGGGAGAGGAGACTGCTCCTGTTAGCAGCAGACGCTTCAAACATTACTAAGCAGGCCTTGAGCCTTGAACGTGCATCTGCCAATCCCACGGGAGGTAGGTTAACCAAAGCTTTTTGTTTTGGGCTGTGTAGGAATCAAGGCATCCTGAGGATACAACGGTTTTCCCCTGCCTTTTTTTCTGCTGTGCCCATAGGTAAACATGATAAGAGGAAAATGACACATGTGTTCCACTAAAGTACTTAAAAGGGCTCAAAGGTACAGCCTTCCACCAAATCTTTCACACTGAAGTCAACTCTTCCGCTGTGGTCCGACCATTTGCTTGCTTGCCCACAGCCCATTTACGGACCATTCCTTAGCCTCCCACGATCCAAAGGGCCAAAACCCCGTGCCCTCCTCGGATCTCGTGTGACCATCACCCCCACAAGGGACCCTTCTCAGGCCCTCAGTCCTGGAGGCTGGTCAGACTCAGAAATCACCAAGACCCCAGCGCCAAGCTTCACCCTGACTTGAGAGCAGGCCGTGTCCCCATCCGCGCACATCTCTGTGCTGGCCGCACACGCACAGGCGCGTCAGCACGCTCCCACAGCCTGTGCTCCATGTGAGAAACCTCCCTGAGGGTTTGCTCGCCGCGTGTCCTCTCAGGTCAGCGCCGACACTCCTTCACTTACTCCGTCACCATCAGGACATCCGGTACCTTCCGTGGCTTCTCGCATCTTCACCCCATCTTTTTGAGGGGAACAAATGACCGTCCTGTCACCTGTCACCTTGCTCCACTGGGAAGCTCTCTTGCTTGTTTATTTTCTACGGCCTTTAGTCTTTATATCCTTTTGTGATCTTAAATTAAACTCCACTCCCACCCCAAAAGGGCAGGAAGAAATAAAAAATTGTGCTGCGATGACGGACACAGTGATTTCCAAAACACATTCAGAGAATGAAGGAGACAGGCTGCGTCTCTTCAACATCACTGGGGTGCGGATCGACCTGGCGGAGAACAGGACAGTAAGCAAGCAGGACCGGGGCCTGGAGTTCCAACCCCAATGTGAGTCTAGCGTCTACCTCCAACGTCACGATGCTTCTAAGCCAAGCTGCTCAGAACCCAGTACTAATGAATCCCGATAGGCCATTAGGATCAGATCAAACACTCTAAAGGGAATTCAGCCTACTGTGCAGGCACCACACAGATCACAAGAAAGACACCAGGAATGTGACAATCTGTCACTACTGGACAAATACACTTATAGAAGTATCCCTGCTTAACTGCAAGTCAGCAACGCTTACCCGGCGAGCGAGGGCAGCGAATGGCCACCCGCACAGAGCACACGCAGAGCCTAACTTCCTTTCCCTGGCTTTACCTCTGAATAAAGAGGTGGCGGTTGAAACCGGAATTCTTGTATGCAGGCGAACACGGGGTAGCAGGCTTCTCCCAGGCAGCTGGGGGGCTGAGGGTAGGGAGGGGTGTGTCTGGAAAACTCCTCCTCGGACACCACGTCCACGTAATTCGGCGGCGCTGAAACACAAGTGCAGGGAGAGCTGAGAGCCTGAACTACTACGGAAGCAGGTCCAGCTCCACGTGAAGACACGTAGGGCAAGTCACCCTCCAGCCAGCATGCTTTGGTTCCTCTTATAATAAAGATGCATTCTGCTTTTATTAAGTTGTCGCTAACATTAATTATATTCTGCCCTTTTGAGACGTACTGCAATCTAGGCAATACAAATTTATTGAAATGTGACTATAAAACTGGCTATAATGCCCCATACTTTCATTTTCACGGGTTTTCGTTGTTTTACTGCGGTGAATTTGAAACATTTTCTTGCTGCATCTAGCATTAGCAGCCCCATATCCTGGCTGCATGGACGGTTTCAAGGTCTTTTTCAGGGTAACATTTTGTGATTTTTCAGCAGCAAGAGGAGTGATGAGTTACAGCGGTAACAGTCACTCAGCTGGAGCAGGTGCTGCCTCAGTGTCCCGCGGAGGGCCTTACCTTCAGGCTGCTCCGGCAGGGTGAGTGTTAACCAGCTCATGTCCACGCTGAACTGGCTGGCCACGCTGGAGTTCCTGCTGCCAAAGCCGCTGTACGGGACCGTGCCGATCACCAGTGGCAGCTCCAGCATCAGCTTCTTCGCCCCAGGGATGTGAATGTACACCTAGCGTCAAAACGAAGGGACGGAGGGCACAGAGGTCGATTACCTCCCACAGCAGGTGCCCCGCCTTGTGGCTACCATCCCCCCACTGTGCTGACTAAACCCCGGGACACCCAGAGTGCCCTGGGGCAGGGGCTTGGCCCTGGGTCAGCGAGAGCCGGCATGGCTTCCATAGCAATCACAGAGATTAGGCAGAGAAGTCCAGCCCAAGTCCTTCACCGGCTTCTCTGCTGTTTTACCAGCACCATTAAGGAGGGAAAATAGTTTCTAAGTAAAAACCAAAGCCAATCTTTGTGTGTCCTAACTGGGAGTAATGTTCACATCCTGCGAAGTTTTTGCAGGTGCCAACAACATATTCACGGCAACACAGCATCGTTACTGCTTCACACCAGGCATGCCGTGTGTACAGGGAGCTCTGCTTACGGCCAAGGAGTAGTCCACTCTGATGATGCAGCAGTCCAGGATGGACGGAGTGACGGGGGGGATTTTCAGAGTCTTGCCATTCCACGTGTCGGTGCTGCCAGAAGCAATGTGGTTCCCTCGCACGTTGGCGACCATGTGACGGATGGTCTTTGTCTTCCCACTAGCCAAATAGGTCTGGGTTTGGAAAATGGCAGCTTTGGGCACAATCAGACGAGAGGAGCAGTTCTCTATTTCTGCGTAGATTGGGATAGCTTCACCTACAATGGAAATGAAAGCAGAGTGCCTTCAGGGACTTCGCACAAAGCCCTTGCACGATGGATCGTGCTACCGCCAGTTAAAGCTGCAGTGTTCCACTAGCCCTTTAAAGGCCGAAAAGCCTTGAAGGAAAACTCACTTCTGACTCAGAGAAATAGAAACGCACCATAGGTTGTGGCAGACATTATTTTCTAATTAGCACATTATTAATTTTTCGGTCGTATATTACATTAGCAATTCTAAAGAAATGCAGATGACCAGTATCTATATAAGTTAAAATAAGGCCTACAAGGAGGTACTACATTAAGTATAAAAGACGACTTGCAAACTCATTAGTGCCCCTACAATTAAAATCTGCCCAACAGGAGGACAAAGTCTGTGTACTTAAGGCAGGAGGAACGCTGCAGCCAGAACCCGGCAGGGCGAGCAAGGCTCCAGACCTGAAAGCACCACTTGCCGAGAGGGTCTGGGCGTGTGCTGCTCGGCCGGAGCGGGATCGGACTGCCAACGGCATTTTTAAACCGTAACAGCTCTGTCTGAGCAAACGCAACCCCTGACATGCCTGCGTCAAGACGAAAAGATGACGTGGGCTCTTTCTCCGTCTGCTCATTTTGCTCCTTGTTACTAAAGTAAAAAATACTGAAGTGAGAAACAGCAGGAGCTCTACTGGAACCTGGGTATCTGCTTAAAACAATTAAGTATCAACCACCTATGCTAAAAGCAGAATTTTATCACTTGTTTTCACACAGTACTTGAAAAGGCACTCAACCTAAGCTAACAAAATGAGTACGCGTTCCTTGGAGCGTGCGGCTTACCGTTACAGTAGCCCTTTCTTTCAATTTTGGCACTCAGCGAGACTGGACCAGAAGTGAAAAACCAACAGCCAACCATTTTCTCTTGAGTTTTCAATACAGGGGTCTTGAAAATTTCAAATAACAAAATGACGTTGATTAAAACACTTCGAACCGTTGTATGAAGCAGCAACAAAAACAAATCAACCTTTCTTATCCTCATCTTACACGTTAGGGAACACACACCGGGAAACCAGGGGAGATTTAGCAGTTCAAATTAGTACAACCCCACCCTATATCACCTTGGAGTCTTTCTATTTCTAGGAAGTTATCCAATATTCCTTATAGTAATCAAAAGCTGTATATTAGTATCTATGTACATAATAGATCTATTTGTAAGATGTAGCAAGTGAGATACATAAGCAGCTTCTTTTTTCCCTTCAGAATTCATCATCAGGCAGAACTTTCTAGCGTCCTTAACTTTAGAGTGGCTTGGCACTATGGAGTAACACTGCAATAATGTGCAGACAGGAAAAAGTTATCAAGCACTCCACTGTGGTATTCTACAAGGGCACTTAAAACATGCCCATTAGAAAATGGAATTAAAAGATTATTTGACTGAAAACATTTTGAAATTTGGGGGGTGGGAATTGACAATACAAGGCGCTAATGGGATGCCTAGCGCCATGTCGGAGTCCCTCGTCCATGGCCTGGGTCTGCCCCAGCCCAGCCTCCTCACGCATACTGCGGGAAGCAGCACTGGAGTTCCTCCCAAGCAGGATAAACATTTATGAAAACACATGTATTCAGACAATTTTCAAGAAGTTCAAGAAAAAATGTATATAGCAAACATACTCTCATACTCTATAGCAAGCAGGGTGACAAGATTTAAAAATCTCTTATCTTCTCACAATGGTAAGGTAATCACTACATTCTGTTTTTTCTTCATTTGAAAACCGAAGCTAACCAACTTTTCACCATTTCTTTTTTCCTTGTCTTTAAAAACACTGACTAGAGAAAGGAAGCTCTGATACTAAAAATCTCTCCATCATACCAGGATCATGCTGGACATGTTAAATTATCTCAGTATTTTCTATAAAGTAAAAAAAAACCCCACATTCATATTTAAATGAAGAACCATTAGGTCCTAGTAGCTATCATGAGCGCACAAGGTATAATTTTATATTATTTTGATAATATGGGTTTAGATAAAAGAATCCAGCTCATTAGCTCCCATCTTGCCTATTCTGTTGTTCCTTCCGGCCTGGTCCTTCTCAGTCTACAGTATGTCTGCTGCTCATTACAAGTTCAATAGCTTAATGCGGCCAACTCTGTCAGAAGGAGACACCGAGCGGACGCAGCTCGGCGGCAGCTGCACGCACACACTTAATGCGAGAAAATGACATGCAAAATGGAAGGCGGCAATAACAGGCTGAGCATGATTAACACTGCTCCGTAATTACTGCTCCTCAACCTGCTATTTACTGAGGAGTGGGGAAGAGTCAGTCCTGTGCATATGGCCACTCTGGTAAAAGTAACGACTGTGCGTGTGCATTACTGCTATTAAGCCCTATTAATGCATTCAAGCCTGTGTAACTTTTTGGCAAAAGAAGCCCTGAACAGCAGGGGCATAATCAATAGTATTAACACACACAATTTGTAATTTTCCCAACCTAGAATCATATATTTCTAGTGAATGCCTATGGGTTACAAGATTGCTTTTTCTACACTGTCAAAGTGACGGGACCGACTACTGCTAAAACGGCAGCGACAGAGGCCGCCTGCTGCTGGAAGGCCGGCACCCAGGGAGGGGAGCGGGGCGCTCACAAGCAGTGCTGGCGTGTTGACGTCCACACGGCTGACGACCTGCAGCTCCCGTCTCACGCTCTGCTCCGGCACCTTGGGGCGCTCCAGGATGGCTCGCACACAGTACTCAATGCCTCCGTATTTCCCAGTGAACGAGGTTACCAGGGGTCTGCGATGGAACCAGGATGTCAACTGACAAGGTCATGTTTCCGTCATGTCAACCCAGCCCAAGCGCGGGGGAGAACGTTGGGGTTGTGCCCGAGAGGGCGAGCGGGCAGACGCGGAGAGGCTGGGAGGTTGTGAGCAGAAGCCATGGCGCCTGGGCTCTGGCTGGCTGGACAGGGCACAGGCGCGGACAACGGCCGATCGCCTTCACTTACTCAGATGGAAGTTGAAAGCGAAACGGAAATTCATGTTTCCCAGGCGGCAGCAAGATGACGCCTTCACCTACAGAGAGATGGCATTTTGTTTTAATGGATGTTAGTATTACAGCAGCATTTCCTAACGAAGATCATCACGGCAAGGGCGTTCTCCTGGCCTCCCATCATGGTCTGCCAGAGCTGGGGCAGTGCTTACCGAATCACACACGCAGAAACATGAACGCACTCACCATCCTCAAACAGATCAGCTACACAGAGAAATACCACAGGGCCTGGCGCCACAATACAGACGTAGCGAGTATACACAACTTGGATAGGTGTGCACAGCGTGTGTGTGACAGCAATGCCGTGCCACTTCACGAGGTCATCGGAGACGCTCACTGAAGTGCTTCCAATCTTGAAATCCAGCAAGATTTTTTTTTTAACACAATAGCATGTTATGAACCTTTTGAAAACACCTCAAAAAGATTGCAAAAATTTCTGCAAACTAAATTGATCTACTGCCATTTTCCATGGACTTTTTGTAGCTTCCACATATGCATACACCTGCTCCCCCCATTACATGACCATGACACCAACAGCCAAGGGGACCTTAAAGCAACTTCTCCAAGAAAAGATTAACTTGGGCATACACCACACGCACACACACACACATACACGCACACACACACTCACACACACACACACACACCATCATGTATCCTTTGGGCAGAGAGAGAAAAAGAAAACATGATGGATTACTAGCTGGTATGAAATAACACAAAGCAACAAGGCTGGTTATTAGCCAAGAGTCGGGTATTTATGCTTCTGACTGACGAACAGCGTTTCATGGTGAGATACACGAGGGATACACGAGGGCCCTACCAACACAGCCAGGTCCCTCCCGCTGCCAGTGCCACTCCATCTGGTGTGGCAGTCCAGCATGGGCTATGAGAAGGCCAAAGTGATGGAGTGTGGACAGACACTGGCGAGCTTGCCTTACATGGCAGGCTCCCTGTGGTGGCACAGCACGATGGGCAAGCACAGAGACCCTGAAGACCCCTACTTCATCCACTCGAGGGCAGAAGGCAGCATTGCAATCAGATTCGTCTCTGAGACGAGGTTTATGGCTGAACAAAATCAATTCCAAACCTCCTGCTTCAGAAAACAGGAATGGTTAGTCCATTAAGTCCTCTAAATCTGTCGCTGATTTCCAGGGTATGATACATTGCAGGGGTGGAATGGAGTAAGTGGGTGTTGGTGGTATAAGTCATGCTGGCCTGGGGGCAAAGCTGCCATGTACAACACCTACCCCCATACCCCTGCCAGTATGCGCTTCCTGTGCAGCTGCCAGTGAATGGCCTGAGAAAAGCAACAGAGGATAGCATGGGTGTTTGGGCCATCCTGCCACCCTCATGGAGGACCTGAATGAAGCCCCTGGCTTGATCCAGCGCTGGGCACTGTGGCCATCTCTGGAGGGAACAAGCAGATGGAAGAACTCTGTCCCTCTCTGTCACTCAGATAAACAAATAAATAAATCTGCAATAAGAAAGAAAGAGGAACAGGAGTACAGGAGGGGCCCTAGGGTTCCTGGTGTGCTCAGAGCCACCCACAGCCATGTCCCAGCCATGGGCCAGCCACGGGCCAGTGCAGCAGCGCCATGTCACAGCTGGCAAGGGAAGCTCACGACTCCCAGAGGTCCCCGAGGGCTGGGTTCAAGGCCCACCTCACACTCCTCAGATTCCTGAACGTGACAGGGAACAGTGTTTGACGAGGACTACGTCCGACTTCAACACCCACAGTTCTGATAGCCTGGCACTGGGGGTGTCAGGGACAGCAGTGCCAGTCTTCCGACAGAGCACCTGGAGGAAAGGGGCTGGCCCTCTGTGCGCCTGCACCAACACTCCTGGCATGTGCCAGCAAGGTGAAGGCAGGGATGGCGAGGCCTGCAAAGGAGAGCAGTGCGCGGGGTCTGGATGAGGGGCACGGCATGAAGACGATGGGCAGGTGGAGAGCCGGCAGTTCTCAGGATGAGAGAGAAGACAACGACTATCGCTTAGAATCAAACTTCCAATCATCTCAAAATACAAATGCAACAAAGTCAAGAGGATTGATAGACACGGCGTCCACTAGCTGGAGGGATCTTTGTTTCTTACCTTCTTTTTCATGAAAAGCCTTTGCAACCGGAACCGGGTGTAACAGCTTATTACTTCAGTCTTGGCCTTGGAGGACCATGAGGTCACGGGGCGATGCCCCATGGCTAAACCTGGCAGCCACCACTCTGAGTGGCAGCCACACTCTCAGAAGCTGGGACTGTGAACCCCCCAGAGAGCCAGTGAGGGGCTCGGGAGGCCTGAAGGGCTGGCCACAGTTGGCATTGCTGGTGGGCATGCAAGGCCTGACGCCCCTGCCCATGTATTCCCATCTCTCCACAGCCATTCCTCAACCCAAACGTGAAGGAAATCCATCAGGTGGAGAGGGAGGGCATGTGCGAGCAACACCGTGAGGGAGACTTTCCCACAGAGCAGCCGCGGTGACTGTCCACAGAGACACACACCTCGGCGCATCCCTCCTGCCTGTCTGAATTCTCTGGCCCTGGGAACCCACAGCCAGGTCAAGTCGCTAACGGCCCCAAGTGAACAGACTGAAGGACGAGATGATAATTGTAAATGAAGTGCGGTCGCTGCCAAGATTTGTCATGACAGATTCTAAAACATCCCCATTCCACGCCAACCAGAAATCAAGATCTGGCTTGCTAATCACAAGAAAAGTTAGTCCATATTTTACGGAAAGCCATTTCCATTGCAAATCCCATGTTCAGCTTCTTTGAGTTCTCCATCTATTTACTCAGCAGTTATGGATTTAGACACGCAGAGAACAGGCAGTCCAAAGCCTTGGCCCAAACCCAACCACTGCTCCCTTGAGGCAGCCATCTTGGAAATCAGTGTCCTCAAGGGCCCCGTGGGGAGAGGCCAGAGCGGCTTGGGGTGCTGCCAGTTACCCTGACCACATGGCCCATGGGCGGGTGGGCCATGGCTAAGCCAGGTGAGAGCCCAGTTCCCAGCACCGCCTTGGCCGCAATTTGGGGAGTGCGGCTAACCCCATGACAGTGGCCAGCTGCACCTTCCTTCTGCAGTGTCAGGACACACAGGGAGCAATTTCCTCTTCAAGGGGGAGGGTGTGGACCACGACTGGAGCCTTCAGCAAGAGGGTAACAGGGCAGAAAGGAAAGAGTTCCCAAGAGTGTCACCCCCAGCGTCAAGTTCCATCCCTGGCAGTGTGTTCTGGATGCCCGCGTGGGCACTTCAGGGCACAGCCTCCACCATGAGTCGGACTTGCCAAGGCCAGAAAGGCACACCCAGCAAGGCACACCTGGGGGCGGGGGCCCCGGGAGAAGGGATGGCAGCCCTGTCCAGAGGAACCAGCCCCCTCCAGGGGAGAGGAGCACCAGGGTGTAGCAGGGCAAGCCTAGGAACACTTCCTTTGGCCGCTGCTGCTGGGGGACCACTTCCCTCTCACAGCCACTGGAGTTTCTGCAAATTCATCCTGAACCAGGCCGGGCGGCAGGGGCCCCCAGAAGCGCCGGGTGCCCGTGCGTATATTATATACACTGGGGTCTTCTGGCCACAGGGGCTGGGCCTGCATCCCCGGGTGCCCAGGCAGCTCATCACCGGTTCCCATGGCAACAGCCCATCTCTGCTCTCCACGCACCCCACCTCCTCCTGGTTCCAGGGGATCCCCCGGGAAGCCCGCAGGGACAGCGACGGGCAGGGGGCTCCCCCACCGCCGCCCCGCGCCCCCTGCCCGTCCCCCGGCAGTCCATCGCTCACCGGCCGGGGGCTCGCGCAGGCTGAGGCGCACGTTCAGGTACTCGACCTCGGAGGAGGCGGCCGGCGCCGCGCCGCTGCCCTGACCCCAGGCGGCGGTGGCCCGGCCCTGGGCCTCGAGACGCAGCGCGCTCAGGGCCAACGGCGCGGCCGCCTCCAGCAGCACGTGCCCGGCCACCGTCTCGCCGCTCGAGTAGCAGCCTTTGCGCTCGTCCGCGAACACCAGTCCCAAGCTCTTGACGCGGCCCTCGGCGCCCACGGCCGCCGCGGACCCCGCTTCGCCGCCCATGCCGCCGGGTGGCCGGGTCCCGCGTCCGAGGTCGGCGGAGGCCCGGAGCCGGGGTCGCGAGCACCGCGGCGCCGCTGTCACGGGCGCCCGCCGCTCGCCGAGGGCCGCCGGGGCCGCTGTGCCGTGCCCGGTGAAGCACCGGCTCGCCGCGGCGCCTGTCGCTTTAACAAACCTAACCGGGACGCGAAAGGGGCCAGAACAGCCCACCCCCGGCGCGCTCCCATAGGTCAGCTGTGAGCCCTGCCTCTTGCCGATTGGGTGCTGGCGGCTACTGAGTCATTTCATTGGCGCCCCCACGCACGGGCTGGGCTCAGGAAGGCAGTGCGTGATCAGACAGTGTCGACCAATCGGGAGACGTAAGCGAGCACGTGCACAGGCCGTTTATTGGCTGAGACAAGGCACTGTCCCGAGGTAAGGGCCAATGGTGAGGCGGTGCGCCCATGTGGACAGACGGTGGGAAACAATCTCTGTCAGGGAGGGGGCAGCTTCGCGCGCGGTAGCTCCGGCTTTTGGCGTGTCAGCCGTTCCCATGGCGACGGACGGGGCGTGACTTCAGCGACGCAGCACTGTTTGCGGGAATCACCTCTGGCTGACCGGCCGCTGGACGCTGGGGCGGAAACGGGATGCTGCGGGTGTTGACCGCCAGCGGTTTGCCCTGGCGAGGCTTGGGGAGAGCCGGCCCCCATCGGAACCTGAGTCGACGTTCTAGAATCTCCTGACCCCGAGTTCCAGCAACCCAACAACCGCACCGAGGCCTGGGCACATCCTGACCCCAGCGTCGCGGGCCACGAGGAGCCCTAGCGGCTGGGAGACTTCCCGCCACGCCCTTGACCTCTCTCTGCCGTCCTTTGCTTCCCTGGGACCCGCCTTCTGCCTCTCCATGACCCTTTAGCAGGCTCTCACCCTTCCCAATGTTTCAGGTTTAGGGATTTGTTCCTGTGGGGTGGAGTCATCCTATATTTGAGACTTAAGTTTTTCCTAATATGGTTCTATTTCTCTTTAATCTTAAAGATACTAAATGAAAATCTGAGTTTCGTTATTAACATGGACTGTTCTGATGTTTTCAAAGGTCCCAGTTTCCTTATCTCGGTGAAGGCGACAGAAGCTATGGAGCAGCCCCACCGCAGCGGGACAGTAGTTTGGTCTACAGTGGCTCCCCAAGCAGCGGTAAGTCCCTCTTGCTTCCTGGAGAACAACGCATGGGGACCTGCTGTGGCCCTTCGTGGCCAGGGAGCCGCCTCACACAACAGAGTTTCAAAACATGAAGCCGCGGCGTGTCCGCAGCCCCCGGAGGGGAGAATGTGATTTCCTAGATGTCTCCTGTGACTAGCCTTCCAGTCCTCTAAGGGAGCACTTGGCACAGGATGCCCGTGACCGATTTTTATGTGAGTTTGCGCTTCTCACAGTTGACAGTGCGAAAGTGGGCGGGCCCCGTGGTTGGGTGATTGGATTTGGCCACCTGCTGGCCGGTCCTAGGGCAGCATGGGGCATCACCAGGGAGGGAACCCCTGCCTGTCTATAGCACCCCTTACAAAGCCGACCCTGACATTTCGGTGCAGCCTGTCTCTTCTCATTGGCCCTGACTCTTAACGACATCCTGCCACGGGGCTTCCAGCTTCTCCTTCCAGTGAGCCAGAGACTGCAAGCTGCACCTTGCAGACCTGGGGCCTGGGGCAGGGGGACACTCAACATCCAAATCGTTGCACACCTAACAGCTTTCTTACATGTCGCTGGTCAAAACTGGATCCTGTGTGCTGCTCTTGTAGGTCATTAACTCGTTCCCACATGAGCCTGTTGTCATGAAATTGGTGACTGAAGAGCATGGAGCTCCGCTCACAAAGAAGCAAGATGAAGGGCTACCACCTGCCAGCCAACTGTGTGGCCATCACCTGCCTGTCAACCTGTACGACCGCCTGTGTGACAACCTGTGGGGTCACCGCCTGTGTGACAACCTGTATGGCCACCGCCTGCCTGGCAACCTGTATGACCACCACCTGTGTGACAGCCTGTGGAACCACTGCCTGCCCATCAACCTGTGGGATCACTGCCTACCTGTCAACCTGTAGGGCCACTGCCTGCCTGGCAACCTGAAGGGCCACTGGAGTGACTAGGAGGCGCTAGGCCAGGTAAGCTCAAGCGCAGGGCAAGCCCAACCGGACCAGAAAGGACGCTTACTCAGACAGAAACTGACCCAGAGCTGAGAGAAGATGAGTTCTCTGCCAATTCCCCTCATCCACAGATGAAATTCCATGTCTTGCCCACACGTTACAGTGGGTATACAAGATCAGTTAACTGGGAAAGTCTGACAGCCCCCCTCCCTGCCTTTTTTTTTTTAAAGATTTATATTTTTGAAACAAATGCAGAGAATGACATTGATGGAAATCTATTCTCTGGTTCGCTTCCCAGATGACTACAACAGACAGATCTGGGTCAGGTGGAAACCAAAGGCCGAGAGATCCATCCAGCCGTCCCACTTGAGTGTGGTGACCAAGCATGTTGGCCCTTTGTGTTTCTTTTCCCAGGCTATTCGCACGGAGCTGGATCAGAAGCAAGGTGGATGGGACATGAATTGACGCCTATTTAGGGATGCCATGCTTAAACACTATGCCAAAACTATGGTCCTAATCTCTTAATTGATATTCTTAGGCCACTTAAATATGATGTAGGCTTTGATAGGTTGGTGCTCTGTTCTGTGGGTTTGTGTTTTCTCCAAATTTGAATTCTATGACCTTAACACCCAAGGTGATGGCATTAGAGGGTGGAGCTAGGGACTAGCACTGTGGTATAGTGGTTAGAGCAGGCATGCCGTATGGGTGTCAGTTCAAGTCCTGGCTCTCTGCTTGTGATCCAGCACCCTGCTAATGATCTGGCAGTCCATGTCCTTGGGGCTCTGCCACTCATACGGGAGAAGCTGCTGGTTCCTGGCTTCCTTTGCTTGGAGTGTGTCTTCTCTGTGTGTGCACATGTGTATGTGTGGCCGTGTTTCTGTTTGGATTTCCTCTCTTCGCTTTGTTCACTTGACCGTGTTGAGTATACCATTGAAATTAGACCTACCTGCTGATCCTCCACGCCCCACCTCTCGCTCACCCCTTCTCTGCCTTTCTCCTTCTCTACTGAGCAATTGCTTCAGAATGACCGGCCTCTCTTCGTGGAGGCCACTGCACCAGAGCACAAAGCACAACCTCTGCAGCTGTGCTTTGCATTGTCATCTCTATTTGAAGGAAGTCAAGAGAATAGTTCATTATAACCGCACACGTATTTATCGTTTCCATCACTCTTGCTTGATTCCTGAAGTCCCAGTTTCCTTCAACGAATGCGTAGTTTTATCTCAGTTTTCCTTGTTGCCTTGCCATCCACGATGCAGGGCACACTTTACTAGATGTGGAATTCTAGGTTGGTGTCTCTTTCCTCACTTAATGGTTGCTCTCCCCTGGAAAGGAATCCAGTTCCCCTGAAATCAGCAGTTCTTCTAATTGTTCTCCACAGAATGGGGCATCTCTTGGTGCTAGCTTACAAAAATGTCCTTCATCTTCAGTTTCAGCAGTTTGACTATAAGTAGATGAGTTTGGTGATGTTTGAATTTGTTTTGTTTGGGGTTTTCTGAGGTTCCTAAAGATGTGAATTTCTTCTTTTACTGAGTTTGTATTTTCTGCCCTTATGTCTTCAGATTGTTTTCTGCAGCATATTCTTTCTTCCGTGCTTTTGGAACTGCCATGTCAGAATGTTGGTGATTATTTTGAAGAGCAGATATACAAACATCTCCCAGGACACATAGAGACACACACATATACACAGACCCCTCATCTGCCGGTTTACTCCTTAAATGCCTGCAACAGTGGGATGGGGCCAGGCTGATCTCAGGCACTGGAGCTCAGTCCACTTGGCTCCCACAGGAGTTCTCACGTGTGGGTGTCACGGACCCAAGTCCTTGAGCCTTGGTCATGTGTTCTGTGGACACAAGTGCTGCTGTGCAGGTTAGGGAGTTTGCAGGGAAACTGCCCCATGCTGCATGCAGCACCCTGTGCATCCACACACCTGTTCCACCTGTCCCACCATCCTCCCAAAACAGTGAGTGACAGCTGTGGATGAAGAAACTAAAACTAGTGTTACTATTGCAAGGAACGTTAGAAAGGAGAAGGAGAATGGGGGAAAGGCAAGTAAGGACAGTGAAACAAGATAGCACCCCAAAAAACTCATTGCTGACACCTTTTTAAAGATTTATTTTTATTGGAAAGTCAGGTATACAGAGAGGAGGAGAGACAGAGAGGAAGATTCTTCCGTTGATTCACCCCCCAAGTGACCGCAACAACAGCCGGAGTTGAGCCAATCCGAAGCCAGGAGCCTGGAGCCTCCTCCAGCTCTCCCGTGTGGGTGCAGCTTCCCAAGGCCTTGGGCTGTCTTTTGCTGCTTTCCTAGGCCACAGGCAGGGAACCGGATGGGAAACAGGGCCACCAGGATTAGAACCAGCACCCATATAGGATCCCAGTGCATGCAAGGCAAGGAGTTTAACCACTATACTATCTCACCGAGCCCCTGCTGACAATTTTTGAATTCTCATTTTGCTTGAGAAGATGGTTCAATCTAAAAGAAGAGGATTCTTTTGTGATGGAGGTGTTGTCCTAAGCAGGGCTCAGTTAACCTCTGCTTAATGTAGTTGATTCGCAACAATGAAGGCAGCAAGGACAGTGGCTTCAGGAGTGAACAGTGGGTTACATGGCCATCACTAAAACTGAACAGGCAAATGTGAAATCAAGGGTAAATAACAACCAAAGGTCTTAAATAAATATTATTAAGCTGGATTCAATGCAAAATCAATGGTGACAGCTCATCTGTGATCAAACTGTACTTATTCTTTACAATTGCCTTTCCCCAAGGAGGAACTTGAACTTGGCCTAACTGGCTTCATTACTGACTTTGCAGAACACCACCTAGTAAGTATCTGGTGGCTCATGAAGAATTCTAACTTAACTAAGCAGTAACCTTATCATGAAAATGACAGAAATGGCGTAAGCTTTCAAACATCATTTTATAAACTGAAGTTTGGAGAGTGAATTCAGACCTTGTGTTCAGATGGACTCCTGGCCACGGGTGTGTGAATGTCATTGTGGCTTTACATGCTGCATGAACATGTATGTTACATAATGTTGTGTGTTTCATACTTACAAACCCTGGGACATGCTACTTGCAAGCTCCTCTCCTTGTTTTTAATTCAATGCATGCAGATCCTCTTTGTCAGTTCATAAAAATCTGCCTCATGGTTTTCATGAGCGATGTAAGATATCGCTGTATGACCATCCCATGCTTATAGCCTAATTTAAATCTGGGGCTATTGATAATAAAATAATAGCAACACTGACAATAGCGCTGCACACTGTGCATATCTTATAAATAAATATACACGTGCGCTTAGGGTAGGACCAAGCTATGATCCTTGGGTTAGAGGACCCAGGTTGTCGCTGAGCCCCACACTGCCCACTTGCCTTTGAAATGACTCTGCTCACTGACATTTGATCATTTTCTTAAGCTTGTTGGCTAGGACTGCTTGGAACTCAGGGGCATTTCACTGTGGTTTAAGTTTATCTTGCATATGAAGTATGATAAATAGAGGTGCTGCGATCGCTCAGCAAGGTTGGTCTAAGAAATGCTGACTCATCCTTGTTGTTTTCTACTTGGTTAATTTTGCTTAATTTTAGGTATTTCTATGTACCCTTGGTGTTGAAACTTATTTGCAAATCATTGTCGCTCTTGCCCGTTTTTTATCCTCTATCTTAAGATAGGCTTAATTTAAATTGATTTATAACTAAATGCACTAAAATATATTTATTATTTATATTATGAAATAATTTTTTAAATAATAAACCTTTCCTGTGACCTGGGCTATAATTTAATGCTTGTATTTTCATCTTAAACATGTGTGTTTGATTTATCAAACAGTATTTTGTGAGGAAAAATATCAATTTCTGCCCCAAAAGCTAGCTAATCCTTTGGATAGAATTTGTTGAATAATCCTCCATTTATTGGCTGATTGGAATTTCCACTTTAGTGACATCTTGAATTGCTTCTTCAGTCTGGTTTAAATCCTTTTCTCTTGCACTGAATTAGTAACATTTTTAATTTCAGATTTTCCCATGACATGATTTGATAATTTTGTAGGTCAAGCATCACCCTATTTATATTCTTTGAGCATTTTGTTTTGGCTATTTTTGTATGTTTTGTCTTCAGGAAAGATTTTGGTCTTATTTAGGTTTTTGTTTTTAAAAATCTTAGTTAATTGCTGGGATGGCTTTGGGAAAATATTGATTTCATTTGCTAAATTGTGATGAATGAATATTTTAAATTACCTAGTGCGTATTGCCATGTAGGAATTTATATGTCCTTTAGCAAAACTTTAACCATCTTCTTCTATAGCTCTTGCACATTTCTGAACAGGCTTAATTTATAACTTTTTACACAGATTTCCGTTGAATTGAATTTCTTTTTCTCCTTGACATTTTTAGATTGGTTCTTGCTGGGGTAGAGGAAAACTATTGCTATTTGCACATATTTTGCACCTTTGCCTTTGGCAACTCCACTTGTTAGAATACAGGGCTCAAATGTGAAGCTTCCTAAAGTCTTTTTGTTTGTTTGTTTAAAGATCTGTTTGATTATAGACCACAGGGGAAATAACACAAAAAGTTTTAAAATGATAAATATGGACATGTCTTCCAACTTTTGACTTACATGTGTCCTGTCCCAGCTTTCCAAGGTAGCAGATATAGCTAGAGAGAGTTTGAGCTAGAAGTTCTTAAAATCAGTCCTGTTGGACTGTGGAGTAGAAACCAACATTTACTAAAGGAGGATCTTATTGCTGAGACGCTGTTTGTTTAAACTCCCTTATTCAGGGCGATTCTGCAACAAAACAACGGCTGATTGGAGCATTCTAGAAGAGAAGCCAGAAGCTAGCCATTGACTAAGATGTGGCTACCAGTCACTCTGTTATCCTTGGAAAAATCAAGAGTGTTTGATAAAGAAGCCATTTGAAGTACTGATGAGCTGGTTTTCCACACTAACATTTCTAGTAAAATAACTCATTATATTGGTTATGGGTATCCATAAGCTTGAATTTCCCATAAAATTAGCAAGTATTGTACCACAGTTTCTTTAACCACTCTTTGGACACACATCTGGATTGTTTCCATGACTTTACTATTGCTCAGTGAAATGATTCAATCACAAAAGAACAAATATCATATGTTTTCTCTTACATAAGGAAACCAGCATGGAAAGTGTAACTTCAATAATCCGATCCATACTGTTTTTTGGTTGCTTGTTTGCTTTTTTGGCTGTATCCCATGTGTTTTGATGTTTTTTTTTTATTTCAGTTTTGTTTATTCCAAATAATTCCTTTTCTCTTGTCGAATTCATCACTGGCTCATGGATTTACATGTTGGCATCATTTTCCCCAAGAGACTTTTGTGTTTCCTTTTTGTCACTCATGTGTTGGTTACTCAGTGGCGCGTGTTTTCATGGTTCTGTAATTTGTTGTTGATGTTGTTGCTGTTGTGGAGGTTCTAACTCATACCAGTTGTTGACTTTGTTTCATGGCTTCTCAATTATGGAAGTGTGTAGTGATGGAGTACTGGGGTCTATCATATACCAGTGTGGGGGAATAATGGAACATGCATCCCTGCTTCCAGACGAAAGATGGATTCCCAATGAAACTGTTGGACATGTGTAGACAATGGGACGCTGGACTGTCTGACATTGTCTGGATCAACAATGTTGGGGTATACTTAAATAAGAGATTGATAGATTTATGATTCCTTATGAAGGACTACACCATTGTAGTAAAATGGGGAAAATATGTCAGGGGATAGGAGTTTTTGGGGGAATCCCAGCCTATACAAAATTGTACCACATAATTCAAAATTCAAAAAAAAATAACAAGTGTTAGAGGAAAAAAATAACCGTCTCTTAAAATGTGGCGTGATGCGTGCGTCCAGGCCAGAGTTGGAGCATTCTGGGCATCACTGGGAGGCTGACCCCTGTTTACCTAACACCAAGGGAGTCACCATCTGATGAGTTTCAGAGTGGTGCAAGGCACGGTGAGAGAGGCCATGGGCAGCTTGTGAAATAGAGGAGGGAGTGGCACAGACTCAGGCGGGTGTAGCCCAACTTGGGTTTTGTTAACGTCAGGTTTTCTGATGCAGACCCAAGTCAGAGTGTGCCTGAGTGAAAAAGACAGAAATGGGATGCTCACTTCTTCCCCAGACCACTTTTCTCGGATTGGTCTTTCTACTTTTCAGGGGAAGTGCTGAGAGGTGAGACAGTGTGATTACAACTCACCCAGATCCAGTTCAGGACCAACAGCACCCTGGAACAGTGGGTTCCTAACCATGGGCTGCCATCTAAAGTCACCTAAGATGCTTTCAGCCGAGAAATGTTTGACATTTCCTGGTGATTCCAGTGCATTACCACAGTAAGTACCATGGCCCTGAATTCTCCCTTTCTGCAGGCTGGGTTAGCTTTCCTTGCTCTTCACCAGCGGGGTGCCACATTGTGACCTTTATTTATTTAGAAACAATAATAAGATTAGAGTTCAATGCTATAGATTCAAAAAAGAAATCAAAGTCTGTGGAGGGCACAAGTGGGAATTCCCTACCTGAGGGCTATGAGACTCTGTGGATTCCATAAACTCTTGGAATCGTGTGCCAAGTTGTGAGGAAGTATGGGGCCTGTCATCTTGCGGTAAGGTAAAGGGTAGAAAGTTTACACCTCTCTTGCAGGACTCTCAAAAGAAGCCACTGGCTGCCAGCTGAATGACAGCAAGACTCACAGTGGAGATGAACAAACAATGGGGGGGGGCAGAAAGACAATGACAAGGCAGGTGCCTGGACTGCAGCCCCAGAGTCCCCTCACTCCACTCATGCTGCAGATTTCTCCTCTGCCTCCTGGATATCTGAGCCAGCTTCCTCTCTCTCTGATACCCTACTGCCCCTTTCTGGCTGGGATAGTCCTAGTTTTGGCTGTCAGTCTTTTCTCAGGAACCCAAAGCATCTGGTAGAACACCAGGAAATTCTGTTACCATTTCTGCAATGATTTTATGCTTCATGCCTTCAGCACATTTATCCCCCTGCTGCCTCGCCGGGCCCAGTCTCCTTTCAAACCAGGGATGATGGATAGGTTTGCACTCATGGGTTCAATTCCATTGATGGATAAGGCATCCTAAGGAAACTCTTGAACTAGATATGTGGGTACAAATCCCACAGCATCATGCTGCAGTGCAGCTGCTGGCTCCTCTGTAGATGGCTCTGGGCAGCAGGTTCCAAGAGTGTTGTGTTGAGAATGACCCAGTGGGACTAGGACCCTTTGTCACTGTGCTGTCTGATAGCCCTGAAGCCAGGGCTCCTGATGTAGGTTATCAGTCTTCTCTTTCCTTCCAGGAGCACTTGATGATGGTGGCAGATGTGTGAGCGCTGTGGGCTCAGCATTTTACTCTTTCCTCTCGATGTTATGCCTGCCTTTAGCTTAGAGGAGACGGTATTCTACTCCCAGCACACAGAACTTCTTGCAGGCTTCTGGAATGTCAGTCTTGTGTACGCTCACTTCCTGCGAGCTGCCCTAGCCAGTGTATGTGAACATGTGCTCTGGGTGGTTAAGAGGTTGATGGCACCAACTGCACGGCAGTGTCTTGCTGAGCCACCTTGGGGGCTGATACCAGTTCTGCATGGTCAGCAGGAGCTCTTTGCCTGAAACTCTATGAGTCACCTCTTCCTAGAGCCCTAGGTGCTATTGGCATGTGAAATTATTGTTGGTATCAATGATTACAATCATATGAGGATAGTCCTTGCAACTCCTTATGAAAGCAGTTCCAATTAGCAGTTACTGTGTGAGTCCTAAGACCAAAGCTCTGCATTAAGTGGGCTACCTATATGTATGTTACCACATTTAATTCTAAAAATAACCCTGTGAGGCAGTCTCTGTCACTGGGATGATCTTCAGAGTAGGAACAGGCCGTGGGGGCTTATTCCCTTGTCGAGAGAGTGGACAGTCAGAGGTGGGGTTGAGAATGGTGCTCTCAGTACTCATGCATGTAAGTGTGCGCCCTTAACTGCTACCACACATGAAGCTGCTCCTCCCGTGGCTGATGGACAGCTCCTGGGCCTCCAGCGGGTCGGACCACAGTGGTGTTCTCGTAGAGGCTGCCGAACGTCCACTGGCCATTGCGCTGGGGTGCATCTCATTGCGGAGCTCCTGTATTCTCAGGGTTGCCTAAGCAACGGTCTGCAGAGTCCACAGGCTCTAACACTTTGCTTCCTCCCCTTCTGTTCCTAGATTTTAACCCAGTAATAAATTACAGAGATAAAATTTCCCAGAGATCAATTAGATTGGTTCTATGTTTTCACTATGATATTAGCTGTGGATCTTTTTCTGTTTGTCTTATCTTTCTTGATCAAGTTGAGAACTTTTTCTTGGAATCTTCTCTCTCAGTAAATGGGTTTGGTTTTGTTAAAATGCAGTGCTGTTATCTTCTTAGATATACGGTAAATTCTATTCAGTTTCATGTAGTTTTTCTCATTTATTGTTGTGAATTTCATTAATATACTTCCTATATTAAAACAAAATTACATTTCTACCATAAGCCATGATTTACAAAATTGTGCTTTAAAGATTGTTGGATTTTATTTGCCAGTGCCATGTAGTTTAAAGGTCTGTAGTTGGGGATGGCTGGTAGTGGTCTGTGTGTGTGTGTGCATCATACGGGGGTTACTCATTGTCTAATTTTAGAACCAAGTTCACACTAGAGTCATAACAGCTCAGAAAGTTGAAATTAGTTAGTTCAATCCAACACTCAACTAATTAGTAACTTTATTTTATACTAACACTACTCTAAGTGGAGAACTCAAAGCCTAACCCAGTTTGTTTAATGAAGCCAGAAATAACTGAATTAAAAGAACAGATAAACTAAAAATACATACTAAACTTACACACATGCGCACTCGCACACACACATATCTAGTCTGAGTGTAGGAGAGTTCATTCAATAAAACTGAGAAAACCCTGCAAATTAAATAGAGAAACCATATGTTATTAAGTGAAAAATTCTATTCATGACAGAGCTTAAAGAGTAAGAAGAAAATTTCAAGGCCTGTGCCTTGTGAAGATTCAGTACCAACGCGTGTTTCAGCCTGTCTCTGGGATGCTGTAGTCACTGTTCTTATCATGTTCTTTTCTCATTTTGTGATGTCACGTTGCCCACCTGTGCTGGCTTTGGGGTGACACACCCCTGCCACGTATTTGATTGTTAAATTTTCCAGAGATTTTTCTTTGGGTGTATGTCTAACACAGCTGAGTTTCCTAGGTAACCCTTTCTGAAAACTGTTTGGCCTTAATAGTTTACTGATTTAAAAAAGAAAACAAAACAAATGACGATCTTTGTAGAATCAATTGAATAAAGCGGAGCAAGTGATACAAATTAAAGTACAATGAATAATCCTGACAAAATATTGCAAAACCATAGCATGCCCAAACTGTACCTATTTCTGGCAGGAATATAACTTCATACAAAGGCCTTGTAAAATAATTTGTTATATTTTAATACTTAAAATGTATATATTCTAGCATCCATTCCTGAGGTCACACTAAAAGCTTCTTCATAGTAGCAACATCTGTGACAGCAGAATGTTAAAAATAAGCTAAAGTCCATTGATAGGAGAATAAATTAATGGTGGTATATTTAGTCAATCCTCTGCGGAGGAACACATTCCTGTATCTGTCTGTATGTCTATATATAAGTATGTACAATATCCGTCCACTATCCATACAATATAATATAATTTATATGCAGTTCAGAGGCACATAGTGCGATAACTGGCATTTTGCTTACGAATGTAAGTACTATGAATGAAGAGCAGAGTGTTGCACACACAGTCTACAAGGCAGTTCCCCAGTTCCCTTGGGCACTGTAATACAGGGAGGAGGTACGGGTGAAAGAGGGAAACAAAGTGGGGAGCACCACTGCAGGCTTGCGCTGTCCTCCTGGGGTGCACCCCTGCAGGCTTGCGCTGTCCTCATGGGGTGCACCGCTGCAGGCTTGTGTTGTACTCCTGGTGTGTTGTACTCCTGGGGTGCACCACTGTGGGCTTGGCGCTGTACTCCTGGGGTGCTCTGCTGCAGGCTTGTGCTGTCCTCCTAGGGTGCACCACTGCAGGCTTGCATTGTACTCCTGGGGTGCACCCCTGCAGGCTTGTGCTGTCCTCCTGGGATGCAATGCTGCAGGCTTGCGCTGTCCTCCTGGGGTGCACCACTGCAGGCTTGCATTGTACTCCTGGGGTGCAATGCTGCGGGCTTGCGCTGTCCTCCTGGGGTGCACCACTGCAGGCTTGCATTGTACTCCTGGGGTGCACTGCTGCAGGCTTGCGCTGTCCTCCTGGGGTGCACCGCTGCAGGCTTGCATTGTACTCCTGGGGTGCACTGTTGCAGGCTTGCACTGTCCTCCTGGGGTGCAATGCTGCAGGCTTGTGCTGTATTCCTGAAGTGCTGTCAAGCCTGAAGAAGGCTTGGGAGGGAACTTCTTCAAGTTATTTTTATGTCTTATATACCTCTTTAATGTTTATATTCTTTAGGGCATGTGAAATATTTCATAATAAAAAACAAATAACCTTGCTGTCCCACATACAGACAGCATTTGAATTGTTCATCTTATTCTGCCTTCCACAAGAGCTGTCCGGAAAGCTATAATTTATTCAAATGTATTTTAAGCAAATTGAATTTGAGATGGCGTTTTGAAGGCTCATGTGTGAGTCTGTCTTTCGAAAGGGTACCTTATGAGCAACCAATTAAAATGTTTAATTGAAAATATTAAACTTATAGTGACAAAGTACAAACACAATCAACTTCTTTTAAAATCTGTTTGAAATAATTACATGCATTTTGTGGATGTGAAAGCCTTAATCTTTACTCAAGATAAACTTCTAATGTTAATATTAAAATGCAAATAGAATTTAAATTATAGCCTAATCATTAATTTTGTTTTCTAATTCTAACAATCCATAAAAGCAAAAACTACAACTTTTAGATTGTTACAACTGATGAAACACCAGAAAGTGCACTTGCTCCCATATATGATATAAAATTAAACAAATTTGGTGTGAGTATTCTGTGTAGGTACTCTGTATATGTCCTCTATGTGAAATTCTGCCAAGGTTAATGTAATTTTAGAGATTTGTTTAGTTGACAGAGTCACACACACACGCACACACACACACAGAGCCATCTTTTCTCTGCTGGTTGTTTACCTGAATGGCTGCAGCAGCCAGGCTGGGTCAGGCTGAAGCCAGTAACCAGAGCGTGTCTGTGACTCGTGCATGGCTGTAGCAGTCCAACCACTTGCGCCATCATCTGCTGCTCGCTCAGGTTTACTGACATTGAGCTGGAAGTGGAGCAGCTAAGATAGGAACTGATGCTTCAAGATAGGACCACTGATAATTCCAGGTGGAAGCTAGACTGGTTTTGCCACAATGCTGGTCCTCAAAATTAATATCTAAGAAAGAAAAAATTTCATTATGAATCCAACAAGTTGCAGTTTTGTGTTAGAGAAGGAACCTGGCCTCCTGTGTCAGGCATGATCCTCCCTGGAGCATGGATGCTGTCTTTCTCAGATAACCCTAGGGCTCCCAGGCCAGTAAGGACTGCTGTAGTCATGCCATATGCATTAGTCAGCATTCTCCAGGGGAACAGTAGGTTGGTGGATAGATAAATATCCAGATGGACATGATGGGATTCACTAAGGGTATTAAGTCATGTGATCATGGAGGCAGAGAAGTGCCGTGACAGGACTCAAGATGCAGGTTTCATGATGCAGATTATGTGGGAGAGGTGAGAACCCCAGGGACTGCTGGTGTGAGTCTTGGAGTCCAAAGACTAAAAGTACCTGGAGTTCTGATGTTCAAAGGGAAGAGTTTGTTTCAGCTG